TCCCTACCCAGGGCTGCCTTCAGGTATCTTCCAAAGGTTTTATAGCAAGCATGTCCAAAGTTCGTTTTGGGGGCCTAATCCGGTTTTATTCGGCCTCTGTGGCAGTTTATTTCTTGGGGTCAAATACTACAAAAAGCTCAACAACTTCGATCGATCCTAAAAAGACTCCAGAACTTTGGGATAAAATCATAAAAAAAGCTCAACAACTTTGGTCGGCCCTCACGCATGTTCACTTCATCAAATCTGGCCTTTGAAAAAAGTTTGGGCACCCCTGTTTATAGTGACTTGGGGGTCAGATAACTCCATTCCCTCCAACATTTCTGCCATGAAAATAGATGCGTTCTAAGAAAAAGCAAGACATCCCGGGATTAAATCAGAAACCGGGATGGCTTCTGTAAATCCAGGACTGTCCCTGGAAAATAAGGACACTTGGAAGGTCTAAATAATATTATGCTGCAATAATATTATTTCTGCTACCCACCTTTCCCTCTCAGCTGCTGAAGATGGGCATATTTATCCTCCCCATTTTATCCATAACACCACCCTGTGAGGTAGGTTCAGCTGACAGAGGTGGCGACTGGCCCTCAAGAGTTTTTATAACTTAAGGGGTTAATCATTCTCCACCTAAGGGAGTTGGGGGGGTGTTGCTGCTTAACAACCAGTCGAGAGTGGCATGATGCTGAGGCCTGCTCTAATTGGCTGTGGGATTCTGTGGGAGTTTTCCTCCTGTATGTTTCGCTGAACGTCTTCCTGCAATGCATAAGGCAGGGCAAAACCTCTTTGTCCCTTTCCCCAGTTGAAACCATTGTTAAGACTTTTCCCTCTGGACTCCATATGTGCTATTTAACAGCTAACAGCTGCCCTTCGCTCTGGATCAGACAATGAAATGCATGTATTGGCAATTAAAAGCAACTGGATCAGTGCCATCTTGAAATGTCCAGGAGAGGTTGTCAGGGGAAATCATCCTTGAGGTTGACTACACACAGCAGCCAAATAAAAAATAGAACCTTTTTTATTATTATTCAAAACCAAGAGATACGTAAGATGTGCATTGGAGACAGCGCTTCCCCCTATCTTGCCCCAACGACGACGATCCTCCTACTTGTAAGAATTTGCCTTGTGTTTTGGAAGGAAAGTGAAGCTGTCCGGAACAGGACCCAGAAGCATCTCACTGCAAGGAGAAATTGAGAAAACTGCAGATACATCTCTAGATTCTTCCAACAGCACACACACCTGCGATGATACTTTGTGCACGACAGGCTAGGTAAAGGTAAAGCTGGGACCGAACGACGGGAGCTCAGCCCGCCGCGGGGATTCGAACCGCCGACCTTTCGATCGGCAAGTCCTAGGCACTGAGGTTTTACCCACAGCGCCACCCGCGTCCCTGCACGACAGGCTACTGAACTCTTATTATGAGATGAAAACCCCATAGGGCACAAAAATGCCATGACAGAAATCTCAGAGGCGAACTTTTTAGACAGCTGCATGCCATTCCCCCAATTTCTATAAGGAACTACGAAAAGAATGACAGAGAGGAAGGCAATTCAGCTGGGATGTTGGGAGAGAATTTGCATTGCCCTTTTTGTACTTCTCCTTGTTCCTTGGAGTGAGATTTGCGCCTCGCAACAAGCTCGTGAGGCAAGGTAGGCTGAGAGATCAGGACTAGCCCAAGGTCATCTGAGTGAGATTCACAGCCGAGTGATCTGAGCTTTCTCTTCCTACACAGCTGGGCTAGAAGAGTTTTGTCCTGGTTTGGGACACAAAAGTTGTTCCCTTCCCACTGGCCGTCTTATGGATTTGGGAGATAGGAAGCCCCATGGCCTGTGTTGGATCAGATGCAATAGGGTCCAGTTCTAGCTTTAACTAGTCACTCCCTTCAAGGGCCAAAACCCACATTTCTGGCCTGGTTCTATATCAGCCTTCATAGCAGCTGAAATAATCTTCTCTCCCGCTCTCTTCCTCCTCAGTGCACGCATGCAGTTGTGTGCTTAACATGCACAGAAAACTGTCAACTGCAAAAGTTCAAACCCTTTTTACCTGATCTTAATCCAGTTGCCCACGTTCTGGCTTGCCATTAAGGTCTCCAAATAGTCCCGGCCCATGTAGTAAGGGGGTCTTTCGTTAATCCTCTGAGGCAGGCGCTCCAGTAAGCCGGCTGGAATGTACCTGCCAAAGTAAAAAAGTAAAGGTAAAGGACCCGTGGACGGTTAAGTCCAGTCAAAGGCGACTATGGGGTTGCGGTGCTCATCTTGCTTTCAGGCTGAGGGAGCCGGCGTTTGTCCACAGACAGCTTTCCCAGTCATGTGGCCAGCAGGACTAAACCGATTCTGGCGCAATGGGACATTGTGAGGGAAAGGCCGTTTACCTTCCCGCCACAGCAGTACCTATTTATCTACTTGCACTGGTGTGCTTTGGAACTGCTAGGTTGGCAGGAGCTGGGACAGAGCAACAGGAGCTCACCCGTTGTGCGGATTCGAACTGCCGACCTTCTGTTCGGCAAGCCCAAGGGGCTCAGTGGTTTAGACCACAGCGCCACCCGCATTCCAGCCTGCCAAAGTGCCAAAGAAGGAAGAAAGGAAGACTCATTTTCCATGACAGTAGGAAAACAGCCTCATCTTGGTTGCTCTTCCCACTCACCCCAGAAGTTAGGCTTATTCAAAATCTAGCTGCAGCTATAAGCATGGGAGATACAGGGCAGAGTCAAAACAAGGCTGTTGTGAAGCCCTCCCTTTTGAGTAAGTGGGAGGAGGAAACACCACTGACGAATAAAGAAAGACGAAGCGGCAGCTATCTCTCTTGATGCTGCCCCAATTTTAATTGCAGTGATACTATGAACTCACACTTAGCAGGCATATATATAGTGCTTTAAAAAACATCCACTGTATCTGGTCGTCGTTAGCAGCAAGCTTCTAGCTTTCCCCGGTGTCAAGCTAGGCTTTTAAAGTACATGGACTTGTTTCTCAAAATCTCCAAAGCCTAAGAAGCAGCTGATGGGTAGGATGTCCCTGCAGCGTGTCACACACAGCAGGAACTTAGTGGTGTGTTAAGATGTTTATTGCAGGATCCAGTCTTGCCTACCTTACAAAAAGGAGTTTCATACCTGAACTGACATAAGCTCCTTACAGGAGAAGCTGTTATTGATACCTGGATGGAAAGGCAAAATGCAATGACTTAGTAAGGGCTGAGGAGGAGCTTCTACCTGCAGAGAAAGGAGAGCCACTCCAGCAGAAACTTCCTGGTCTTCTCCACTCCCTGCGTGTCTGATCCCCAATGCTCCAAGCCGTAGTTGGTGAAGTCCTTGAGGATGTCGAGCCTCTCTCCCGACGAGATGTCCCAGTGCCGCTGCTCTTTGATTTCAGTGAAGATCCAGGGCTTGATCAGCGCCCCCCTGTGACCCGGAAGAACGGCCGCCGTGAGAAAACAGGAGCAGAATCTACACGTACACACACACACACATGGAAATGCTCAAGTTCTAGAGCCAAGTCCCCGAGCGGTATGCCTGCCGCCCTGGCAGAACGTAAGTGCGCGAGGAGAAACACAAGCACGTCACCGAATATTTTTGCAATCTAGATTGCATAGCAAGAATCCACTAGGGCAACTATTGGGATTCAAAAGTAATACATCATTATGATTTTATACCCCCAGGCGATTCCATGTTCAAACAGCCCCACCACCGGCAAAATCTAAGGGAATGGGAGAGGACAATTTGCCAGTCGGTGATCCCCTCGGAGCCTTTTCCCAGATGCCGGGGACCGAACTGGAACCTTCTCCTTGCAAACAGATATATGACCACTAAGCCATAGCAAAAGATGGAGCCAGAACCAGCAATTGTGTGCAGGGGTAGTAACAGCGGCTATGGCAGATATCTGGCCCGTGCCCTTTAGAAAGATGTGGCTATAATGTGGGCTTAGGCTACCGTATGATCGACCACATGGATCTTAAGCAAGTCTCTCCTCCCCCTCCTCACCCCCCGACCATTACTGTATAGTGTTATGTTCAGCAAGGCTCAGGATTATTCTCTTTTCTTTCTGTTTAGCTCCATGTATTATTTCGAAATGAGGATCCACGCCTCCTCTGTCTTCTGTGACAGCCACGCCTGCTTCTGCTATTACAGCTGGAAATGATTTTGTAATGGCAATCTTAACCTTAGTCCTTTGGGGCTGGGAAATGAAGTTGTGAACCTGCCTTCATACACTGGTACGTTTCTAGCCTTGGAACCGAGTGATGCGAACCGCCCAGTGAACTCTGTGCCAGACCATCTAGGTTACTACAGTCGTACCTTGGAAGTCGACCGGAATCTGTTCTGGAAGTCCGTTCAACTTCCAAAATGGTCGCAAACCCAAGCGTGGCTTCTGATTGGCTGCAGGAAGCTCCGTCGGACATTTGACTTCCAAAAATAGTTTGCAAACCGAACCATCACTTCCAGGTTTGCGGTATTCAGGAGCCAAAACATTTGGGAACTAAGCTGTTTGAAAACCAAGGTACGACTGTACTGTCTTCAATGGCTGAGCTTTAACACAACCCCTAAGCCAGTGTGGTGTAGTGGTTAAGAGCGATAGACTCGTAATCTGGGGAACCGGGTTCGCGTCTCCGCTCCTCCACATGCAGCTGCTGGGTGACCTTGGGCCAGTCACACTTCTTTGAAGTCTCTCAGCCCCACTCACCTCACAGAGTGTTTGTTGTGGGGGAGAAAGGGAAAGGAGAATGTTAGCCACTTTGAGACTCCTTAGGGTAGTGATAAAACGGGATATCAAATCCAAACTCTTCTAAGCCACAAAGCACCTTACGTCTGTGCATGAGCTGAATGCTAACGTGTGCTGCAGTTTGGAGTAAAGCAAGCTGCACAACTGTAAGCCAACTGCTCTGCAGCTTGTTTACTTGCATAGAGATCACACACAGACTAAAGGCTGATCCAAGAGTTGTGTCTGAACCCAGCCATTGACTGGCTTTCCAGGGTTTTAGGCGCGAGTTTTTGCCAGCCATAGCTGGAGAAGCCAGAGACTGAACCGGAACCTTCTGCTTGGAAAAAACCCACGAGGGTAACGAAGGGTGCTTTCTTCTCCAGACCACCCAAAACGAAGGGAAGACACTTGCCGAGCAATCATAATTCCCGAAACTCCACTCTGCATGGCTTGATTAGCATCTTCGAAAGACAAGATATCTCCGTTCCCTGAGCCAAAAGGAAAAAAATAATAATTCAGGGGTCACCAAAGCAATCCCAAATGCTTCAGATGCTGTTTTGCCAGACAGAGGGCCTTCTCGGTGGTGGCGCCCGCCCTGTGGAACACCCTCCCATCTGATGTCAAGGAAATAAACAACTATCTGACTTTTAGAAGACATCTGAAGGCAGCCCTGCTTAGGGAAGTTTTTAATGTTTGATGTTTTATCGGATTTTTAATATTCTGTTGGGAGCCGCCCAGAGCAGCTGAGGAAACCCAGCCAGATGGGCAGGGTATATAAATTCTTCTTCTTCTTCTTCTTCTTCTTCTTCTTCTTCTTCTTCTTCTTCTTCTTCTTCTTCTTCTTCTTCTTCTTCACTGTTTCTCTTAATAGTTCCAAGCACTTATTTATAGCTCTTTCATCTGCCCCTGGTCACAGCGATGCCTTTTGCAAGTACAGTGTTACCTTGGAAGTTAAACTGAATTCGTTCCGGAAGTCCGTTCGACTTCCAAAACATTTGGGAACCAAGGCACGGCTTCCAGTTGGTTGCAGGAAGCTCCTGCAGCCAACTGGAAGCCGTGGAAGTCATGTTGGACATTTGAGTCCCAAAGAACTTTTCAAAACCGGAACAATCATTTGTGCTTTGCGATCTCTGGGAGCGAAAACATTTGACTCCCAAGGCGTTTGAAAACCAAGGTACGACTGTAAATGGATTTGAAACAGCCCTGTCTGTAAATGAGGTTGAGGTTGCACAAAAAACCGCTAACATCCAAGACACCTCCTCCTTCCTGCTTATTTTGCGGCGGCAGCATGCAGAGTGCTGCCCAGGAAGTTTACTATTTAAGAAACAGGACTGGGAAGGGAGAACCAGCAGGCAGCTTCCGGTCCAGGCCTGCCCCTACTTGATGGCACTAAAAAGTAAAGGTAAAGGGACCCCCCTGACCATTAGGTCCATCGTAACCAACTCTGGGGTTGTGGCGCTCATCTCACTTTACTGGCCGAGGGAGCCAGCGTACAGCTTCCGGGTCATGTGGCCAGCATGACTAAGCCGCTTCTGGCGAACCAGAGCAGCGCACGGAAACCCCGTTTACCTTCCTGCCAGGGCAGTACCTATTTATCTACTTGCACTTGACGTGCTTTCGAACTGCTAGGTTTGCAGGAGCAGGGACCGAGCAACGGGAGCTCACCCCGTCACGGGGATTCGGACCTTCTGATCGGCAAGTCCTAGGCTCTGTGCTTTAACCCACAGCGCCACCCGCGTCCCTGATGGCACTAAAAAGAGCTTCTCAAATCCAAAGCATTTATTGATGTCTTCAAGAAAAGAGGGAAACTGTTCAGAATGACCGGGCAACAACGAGCCACACGTCTCCTGTAGTCTTCACTCACCTCCAAGAGTCCCAATCTAGAGATTTCAGAGAGGAGAGAAACGAATTGCTTCTTGACCCCTGTGACGTTCTTTGTGGCAGCCTACAGGCCAGTTCGGCTGCTGACCACTGATCTACAAAGAAGAGTCCTGATGGGCCGGACTAAGGAAGGTCTATATGGACCAGCATCTTGTTTCTGACCAGTAGCCAGCCAGATGCCACCAGGAAGCGACTGAAGACAGCAATCCTTCTCTGCTGTTGCCTCTCCCCCTCCATTAATCAAGCAACTGGTACTGGGGTAGAGTGCATCTGAATACAGAGGTTCTGTTTTAGTGGTTATAGCTGGCAGACCTCTCTTCCTCCTCCATAGATATTTCTGATCATCTTAATTCATCCCACAAGTTAGGGGTCTTTTGCCTGTCCTGAACTTACTTCATTGAGCTCTTGCGCTGTGGGAAGGTGGGGCAGGGCGGTAGCGCAAATATGGGAAGGTTAACTGTATGGCAAGAGAAAAGGTGGGTTTTCCAAAGATTGCAGAAGCAGGATTCTGTGTGACTGCCATAAAACTCAGGGAAGAAGCTGTACTACCAAAATGACTGAGGTTTTAAATGGTAATTTTAGGTTATATTTTAATGATCAAGATTTAATATATATTTTTAACTGCCGCTATATCCGAATTGTCTCTGTTATACCCAATTGCAATTCTATGTATTCCTGTTGTGTTTTATGATTTTCCTGATACTGTAAGTGAGCCGGAACTGGTCTGTGACCGTAATAATAAAATTCATTCATTCAGAAGCAGGAGGAGGAAAAGGCGGCAGGATGGAGAGGGAGGCAAACCCAGCCAAAGCAATCTGAGCCCAAAAACTGCAACAAAGCATTACCTCCAAGCCCAAAATATGTTGCAGTGACGGATTCAACGCAAAGGAAGCAAAACCAGCACGCAGAAAGAACAGAACTACCTACCGAAAAGAGGCATCGGACTGGCAATTTTTGCGCACTCTGCTATGTACTCCCAGTTTGCGGCCTTTGTGTACCGCTGCTCCCTCGACCGGCCATGAAGCTAACGGGGTCAGAAAAGGGACAGTTGACAATCGGATGTGAGTAAATGCACATGCTTTGAGCGAAGGAAAGGGTGTTTTATCTGCTAATTAAATCTACCGATGAGAAGTTAGTGATGGGATGGAATGAACAGAAGACTGCAGCGAAGAATCACAGCTATGTCGGTATGTGGAAACGGAATGGAAGGGGGAGGGGAAAAAAACTTCTTTCTTTTTCAATATGCTTTACTTAACAACCCCTCTCCTAGAAGAACCGTCACATGATTGATCGATAGCAAGTGAGATTGGAAAACAAACTGTGTGGAAATGAAAATATTAACTAAGGACTTTGTTTTGTGGAAGATCTGGAAGGAGAAAGGCTTTCCTGTTGCGTAGTTATGAGATCCGCCATTACGAGACAGACTTCGTTGCGATATTTACAGTCAAAGGGGGAGCTGAGCCATTGTTTTGCTACTATGTGAGGATTGTAAATCTGAATGGGCGAAAACTCCCCTGGAAAGGCTAATTTATGGTGCAACTGGTCTGGGAAAATTAAGGAGCAAGACGCTCAGACTGTATTTCATCGGAACTGTCAAAAATGGCGCCTGCCACTCGAACAGGACTTTTGGACTTTTGGATCACCGTGTCAGATGAATTACGGGAGAGTGTTACAAAGTTCACACAGAAACATAAATAATGCTTGATTCAACTTGCTTGTGGAAACACTCAGAGGTTATTAAGAAGAAAAAGGATAACAGCAAGGAGATGGGAAGATGGGACTTGTGAATATCAAAGCAGCAGAAATATGAGATGATTAGACCCTTACTGAACTCAAAGCATGGGTACCCCCAACAAAAAATTTAAAATCTGGCTAATTATTTGGAGTTTATTATGTATTGGTATAATTTGGTATAACTAATGTGATAAGATTGGTTTGTTAATTGGGAATTTAATAAAAATTATTTATAAAAAGAAAAGAAAAGGGACAGTTGACACACCGCTTTTTGAAATGTTTAGGTAAGAACAGAGATGTGGTCTACAAACCCCCACAACCTTTGCACCATAGAACCTCCACATGCAGAGACAGCCTACTTTAGGATATTGGTTGCCAAAGGGCAAGAGCAGGGGAAGACTGACGCCTTTGTGTCTCGTGTAGGGGCTTCTCAAAGGCAGCATTTTAAGGCGTGTGTGAGATCGCTCCGCGCCAGTCTCCCCAGGCTTGCGGATATTTGCCCCAGGCTTCAGGATGCAGGCAGTTCTCCGCAAGCTGTGGGAGAGCTGCGCGACTTTGCACCGGGCTCCCACGGCTTGCGGATAGCTTCCTGAAGCCTGGAGAGCGAGAGGGTCGGTGCGCACCGACCCCTCTCGCTCTCAGGCTTCAGCGAAAGCCTGCATTCGCCTCATAGACGCCACACATTTCCCCTTCATTTTTGGAGGGGAAAAAGTGCGTCCTATAGGGCAAAAAATATGGTAATCAATAATACAATAATATGATGATAAATAAAATAAAATAAAAATCTGTTGCTGGAGACAACAGAATATTGGCATAGATCAGGGGTAAAGTAAAGGTAAAGGGACCCCTGACCATTAGGTCCAGTCGTAGACTACTCTGGGGTTGTGGCGCTCATCTCACTTTACTGGCCGAGGGAGCCGGCGTTTGTCCGCAGACAGCTTCTGGGTCATGTGGCCAGCATGACTAAGCCGCTTCTGGCAAATCAGAGCAGCGCACGGAAATGCCGTTTACCTTCCCGACAGAGCGGTACCTATTTATCTACTTCCACTTTGACGTGCTTTCGAACTGCTAGGTTGGCGGGAGCAGGGACCGAGCAACGGGAGCTCACCCCATCGCGGGGATTCGAACCACCGACCTTCTGATCAGCAAGCCCTAGGCTCTGTGGTTTAGACCACAGCGCCACCCGTGTCCCGTAGATCAGGGGTAGTCAACCTTTTTATACCTACCACCCACTTCTCGATAAAATTTCCTTACCAGTGCTCAATGGAAGGATTCGCTTTGTGCGGTAGAACTCCCTACCACCCACCTAGAATCCTGAAATGCCCACAAATGGGCGGTAGGGACCAGGTTGACAACCCCTGGGCTAGATGGTGTAACTTTAGTCTGATCTAGTAGGGTGTGTGCATTTATTTTTTTTAAATGAAGTTACTGCTCATCTGAATGTGGCTTAAGGAAGGCTACCATACCGTGACCATAGAGGCACCCCACTCCCGGATGCTGGGAATTAGCTTGTGAGCCAGGTTGGTTTTCTCTTGCACCCCGGTCCGGATCTTCACGGTCAAGGGAACATCTAGCACCTGCCGAGGAAAAGAGGAACGGTGAGCCAAGCGAAGTGTGCCTCGGGAGCCGAACCTGAGCGCGACGAAGCTGGACTCTGGAGATTCCTTTGCCGAAAGCTTTCACCAACAGCTGCTCCGAGAATGCACAGAGGGGGCCACAGAGTAGAGTAATCCCTTTTTGAGACCAGCGACTTCTGTACCAGGTGGGAAACTCAAAAGCCAGCCCCCACGACTGAGAGTGGTTTGGGAGCTGCACGGTCAGGGAAAACACAATGCTGTCCAGGGCTGTAAAGACTGCGGAGAGAATAATTGGGTGCACTCTTCCCACCTTGGATCAAATCTATGCTTCCAGGTGCCATAAGAAAGCTGCAGAGATAGCGCAGGACAGTGCGCACCCCGGAAATGATCTCTTTCAGCTTCTGCCTTCTGGAAGAAGGTACAGGGTTATAAAGACTAGGACTAGCCGCCTGAGAAACAGTTTCTGTTTAAATGCGATTTTGTTTTTAAACGCAGTGCAAGGTAGTCTCTATGGGAGTATATTGTATTATGGGGTATCAGAGTTTTTAGGGGGCTAACCAGGCTGGGATAGCAGGCTTGTTGGCTTCTGAATGTCTTATGTAGATCCCCCCCCCCAATTTTGTTGTTCTGTATGGGACAATAATAAAGATTATCGTATCGAAGAACCCCATGCCCCACCACAAGGGCCTTGTAATCATAATCTTGTGATGATTATGATTATGATACCCCACCCATCTTGCTGGTCTGCCCTGGGCCCTGGACACATTCGCCACAAAGCAGGGGCCAATAAACGGGTCAAAGCTTGCAGATTATGTGACACTGTGCAAAGCTGATACGAAGAGGATGACTGTGGTTGCAAGAAGGAGCAACGCGGGGGAACAGAAGCACGAATGAAATCCAGGACTGCTAGGAGCCAGCCAAGGGAAAAAAACACACACCAACTTACGTAGTTCATGCCTCGGACAATCTGCTCAAACTTGTTGGGACGGCTCATTAAGCCACATCCTCCCCCCTGGGAAGAGAAAGGAGAGGAGAGTGAAGCACGTTCTGAAAGATCACTGGGGGGCGGGAGAGTGAAGGTCATAATCTCAGAACTGATTTTGGTCCTTGATGGTCTGGGCTTCCCATAGGTTTTGCCACAGGTCCATCAGCTTGAAGGAGAGAGAGGTGTCAACTTGCAGAACTTTTACTTAAAAGGAAAAAAAAGGTGGGCTGCAATTTTGTAAGACTTGGAGAAGTTCCTTTGAGGCTCCCCATCGCTTCCAAGCTAAGTAACGGGCTGAGTTGAATTGTGAAGGGAATTCTGCCAACCTAGCAGTTCAAAAGCATGTCAAAGTGCAAGTAGATAAATAGGTACCGCTCCGGCGGGAAGGTAGACGGCGTTTCCGTGCGCTGCTCTGGTTCGCCAGAAGCGGCTTAGTCATGCTGGCTACAAGACTGTCTGCGGACAAACGCCGGCTCCCTCGGCCAATAAAGCGAGATGAGCGCCGCAACCCCAGAATCGTTCGCTACTGGACTTAACTGTCAGGGGTCCTTTGCCTTTACCTTTTTAGTGCTTGAAAGCACTAGCGTGCTTGAAGGGCTTAATGGGCTACCTTGTTATAGATGAGGTCGATAGGGCAGCCCACATTGATGTCCACAAAATCCACTTCGATGGTCCGGTTGAGAAGCTCTGCGCACTTGGTCATGGTGTCTGGGAACGCTCCTTCCAGCTGCAGAGGCATAGGGTGAAAGAGGGTCAAAGGGGTGCCCCAACTCACGAGACCAGCTTATAGGCATTGCACGTGTGCCAAACTATTTATCTGCAAGAATTCCCCAACTTGCCTTTTGAGGTTTGCACCCCACTCAGCATGAATTACATAAATCAAAACAGAGCGTATCAAAAGAATACAGTAAAAAGACAGGCGTGGCAGACTTAAGACTATGGTTTAGTGCAAAACGCATGAGCATCATGGCTGATCACCACCGCTCCTCCCTCCAGTGCTGCAAGGAGTTTGGGAGCTCCTGCCTCGGCCCCAGCCTGCTATGTCTAAACGCAACCAACTATGGCCAGCGTCAACCATCGTTTAGGAGAACAAGGCAACTCCAAACGAGGGTTTATAATACCCAAAACAAGGAGACAGTATTAAAAACAACCCCCAACAAAAGTATATCATCTCCTTCCACCTTTACTTCTGCTAACTACCGATGAAGCTGGCAATGGCTTTCGGTTAAAGATGGCCTTAAAAGGGAATTCCTGGAGGGGAGGGTTATTGAGACCGATTAGCTTCCCATGGGGGAGCATCTATCAGCCGGAGAAGGAATAATAATAATAATAATTTATTTATACCCCGCCCATACGGCTGGGTTTCCCCTGCCACCCTGGGCGGCTTCCAGCAGAATACTAAAATACAATAATTCATCAAATATTAAAAGCTTTCTTAAACAGGGCTGCCTTCAGATGTCACATCTGATGGGAGGGTGTTCCACAGGGTGGGTGCCACTACCGAGAAGGCCCTCTGCCGGGTTCCCTGCAACTTTGCTTCTTGCAGTGAGGGAACTGCCAGAAGGCCACTGGAGCTGGACCTCGGTGTCCGGACAGAACGATGGGGGTGGAGACGCTCTTTCAGGAGCTGCAAAGAGCTTTCTCTCTCCCTCTCCTCCCACCAGGAAGAACTCTCTTCTCCAAGCTCCAGTGGCTGTGGGAAGTCAGAGGTGAAAGGAAGCACAGTCTGGCCTCTGCTACCAGCCACGGGGAACTGGGACCACTTTGAGCATCACGTCAGCCAGGCAGAAGACGGCAGCCAGGAGAAGACCAGCAAGGCCATCTCCACTAGCCGCAGAAGAAGCGGCTTGCTCCTGTTCTCTCTCCCCCGCTGTATTGAGAGTCTGCCTTCAATCTACCTGAACGCCAAAGAGATCCTCTGTGTCGTGTCTCTTCAGCAATGCCCACTCGGACGACTGCCCCTGGAGCAGGTTTGTGCAAACGGCCATCTCGCCGCAGGTGACGTCCGCCCCAAACCGCTTGCATATTCTTCGGAAAGGAAGGTTGCCGCACTGAAATCCCCGGAAGAAATCAGGAGAATGGAGTGTTACGGTTGCCTCGGGGCAGGTCTCGAGACAGGACAAGCAAGACACCACGTCTAAACAAAGACACGGCCCGATCTCACAACGTGCAGCGTTTGAAGACTGAATGGGAATAGCTGCTGGCGCTGCAGCTAAGTTCCAGGGCTCTTTCCATCCATTTCAACCAATTCACAATTCCAGCTTTTCACCTGTTCCTAACCAGATGTTCCAATACAGCGGTACCTTGGTTCTCGAACTTAATCCGTTCCGGAAGTCCATTCCAAAACCAAAGCGTTCCAAAACCAAGGCGTGCTTTCCCATAGGAAGTAATGCAAAACGGATTAATCAGTTCCAGACTGTTGAAAAACTATCCCTAAAACCACCTCTCCTGGTATGTCCCACAGAGGAACTTACGGTCTTCAAACAAAAACATCTTGGAGGTCCCAGGCCACAGAGAGGTTAGGCTGGCCTCAACCAGAGCCAGGGCTTTTTCGGCTGTGGCTCCAATCTGGTGGAACGCTCTGTCACAAGAGACTAGGGCCCTGCGGGACTTGACATCTTTCCACAGGGCCTGCAAGACAGAGCTGTTCCACCAGGCCTTTGGCCAGGGCGCAGCCTGACTCCCTCCTTTGGCAATCGTCACAGAAGTTTAGCTTAATGGTTGCCATCAATTTGATTTTAATTATTTTTTACAATGAAATGTTTTTAGAATGTTGCACTATTTTATTGTCGTTAGCCGCCCTGAGCCCGGCTTCGGCTGGGGAGGGCGGGATATAAATAAAATTTATTATTATTATTATTATTATTATTATTATTATTAAAATGCTTCTCCCCACCGCCCCAATCAGTGTGATCTTTCAAGAGAGAGATGTCTCTCTTACACACACATCAAAGAGGCTGGGCTTCAGAGAGAGCTGCAGGGATGCTTTTCCTCACCGGCCCAATTCTCTAAAAACGTATGCACAACACTAAAAACGGAAACTTGGGACATGTTCGACTTAAAAAAAATAATCAAGAACCGAACGCTCACTTCCGGGTTTGCGACGTTCGGGTTCTAAGTTGTTCGTGAACTAGGCTGTTCGAGAACCAAGGTATCACTGTATCTTGTTTTTGTAAGCCTTAAGCAGAACTCTCTCTCTCCCCACACAACCAGCATGCTTAAATTGTCACAGCAGCCAGGGGGCAGGCAGGTTTCGCTGTAAGAATTTGCAAAGGTGACAAAAATTCAGCTACATATGAATAACGGGGGCAGCTATTCTCGGGTAAGGAAGGGGGAGTTACAGAAATACTGCAAAATTAATGAATGTTAGAATGATGTTGGATTGAAGTTAAGGGGTTTCTAGCTGTACAGGCTAAAAGAATATGGAAAAATTGGTTTTAATATGTAAAATCTAAAATTTAAAGCTATATTATATCAAGATTAAAGATTAGGATTAAAAAGGAGGGAAAGGAACTGTTGGACTAACATATTTAACTAGAATACAAAAGAGGGAGGTAAGAGGAGGTCCGAGAAACAAGTAAATGTAATAATAATAATAATAATAATAATAATAATAATAAATTTTATTTATATCCCGCCCTCCCCAGCCGAAGCTGGGCTCAGGGCGGCTAACAACAATCAAAATAATCCAACATTCTAAAAACATTCATTATAAAATTAATTAAAATCAAATGTAAAAGAAGTGAGGAAAAGATGAAATTGTTTTTAATTGTTTTTTCCTTTTTTCCTTTGTATTTTTTCTGTTTATTGTTAATTTTTTCTTCATTAATGTGGTTTTTTTTCTTGTGAAATTTTAATAAATATTATTAAAAAAAAAGGAAAGGGGAGTTGGAATGCCAGTTGGGAGTACGTGGTCAGCTATACAGTGGTACGTCAGGTTAAGAATTCATTCTGGAGGTCCGTACTTAACCTGAAACTGTTCTTAACCTGAGGTACCACTTTAGCTAATGGGGCCTCCTGCTGCCGCTGCTGCACAATTTCTGTTCTCATCCTGAAGCAAAGTTCTTAACCCGAGGTACTATTTCTGGGTTAGCGGAGTCTGTAACCTGAAGCGCCTGTAACCTGAGGTACCACTGTATGCCGAAGACACACAAACTGAAGCACAGGACACAGCCTGAGGCACTGTTAGTGGGCAGTTCCCTAGGCCAGATTGATGGGAGGTTACCTGCTCTTGATGGGGTTACACTTCCCCTGAAGGAGCAGGTTCATAGCTTGGGGGAACTCCTAGATCCCTTGCTGTCACTCAAGGCGCAGGTGGCCTCAGTGTCTTCCATCAGCTTCGACTGTGGCCCAGCTACGCCCCTGTCTGGACTACTGTCATCTATGCTCTGGTAGCCTCCAGGTTAGATTAATGCAACACACTGTACATAGGGCTGCCTCTGAAGACGGTTCGGAAACATCAGCCGGTGCAGAATTTGGCAGCCCAGTTGCTCACTGGGACAAGATGGTTTAAGTCTATTGCAGAGATCCTGGCCCGAATGTACTGGCTGCCAGTCAGTTTCTGGGCCTAATTCGAAGTGCTGGTTTGACCTATAAAGCCTTGAATGGATCAGGACTGTAATACTTCAAGCACCACCCCTGCTCATAGGAACTGACCGGGACCCTCACCACCAGAAGCCTTTCTTCATGTGTGTCCTCCACATGAGGTCCAGAGTGGGGCAGCACGAGAACAGGGCCTTTTCTGCAGTGGCTCCCTGCTTGTGGAACGCTTTCCCCGGAGAGGCTCACCTGGTGCCTTTGTTACATATTTTAGGCACCAGGTGAAAAAGTTCCTCTTCAACCAGGCCTTTGGCTGATTAACATTCTACAGCCTTTCAAATGTTTTTGTGGGAGCGGGGGCTATTAGTTTGTTTATGTGTGCTTTTACCTTGTATTTTTAGGTTGTAAACCACCCCGAGATCTTGTGATGAAGTGAAGTGAAGGCACAAGACTGGGGGTGATCATCAGTGAGCTGCTTGCAAGCTGCCCGCCAGCCCTGTGGAGGCTCCTTTTATTGACACAATATGCAAACCCAGGCAGATACATTTTGGGCTGTGACCTTTACACATCTTCCAGTCCCGAGATCGTGGGGTGGTACAAAGTTGTTTTGGCACCTGTTTCCACAGCGTCATTTTCCCCTTGCACGGTGTATGACGAAGGAGACAAAAGGTCTCAGGGACAAAGGTTACAGACAGGACACCGCAGACTGCTGAGACCGCAAAAGGTCAGACAGAGGGAACGATGTTCAGACAGCTGTGGCTTGTCTGGGGGTGCGTGTGCCCTGCACCCCAGGGTCACGCGTGCAGGCAGACAGTGGCTGCCTGCTGGTGGGGAGTGTGCTCTCTCCGGACCCCACTGCCCACTCCACGATTATCCCTACAATGAAGGAAGATCTATAAAACAAACAAACAAACAAACATCTACCTACCGTTGTTAAAGGAGCTAAATAAAGCTTCTCGTGGAGATCTAGCTGTAAGACAAAAATCATGAAAATGCAAGTCATGTGTCAGGAAGTGTAAGGTGTGGGCTAATAATTTATGCACTGCTACGAATGTTACTTTGGCCACCTCATGAGAAGAGAAGACTCCCTGGAAAAGACCCTGATGCTGGGAAAGATGGAGGGCACAAGGAGAAGGGGATGACAGAGGACGAGATGGTGGGACAGTGTTCTCGAAGCTACCAGCATGAGTTTGACCAAACTGCGGGAGGCAGTGGAAGACAGGAGTGCCTGGCATGCTCTGGTCCAGGGGGTCACGAAGAGGCGGACACGACTAAACAACAACATGAATGAGTTTTGAAAGCAAAAGGACTAAACCCTCTCTTGGGCGCAAGGGTGAGAAATGCATTGCACTGGACTTAATATATATGAATAATGCAAACTGTTCAATTGTTGCCATCCTGACAAGTACAGTGGTACCTCAGGTTAAGTACTTAATTCGTTCCGGAGGTCCGTTCTTAACCTGAAACTGTTCTCAACCTGAGGCACCACTTTAGCTAATGGGGCCTCCTGCTGCTGCCGCACTGCCGGAGCCCGATTTCTGTTCTTATCCTATCATAGAATAGAATCATAGAATCATAGAGTTGGAAGAGACCACAAGGGCCATTGAGTCCAACCCCCTGCCAAGCAGGAAACACCATCAGAGCACTCCTGACATATGGTTGTCAAGCCTCTGCTTAAAGACCTCCAAAGAAGGAGACTCCACCACACTCCTTGGCAGCAAATTCCACTGTCGAACAGCTCTTACTGTCAGGAAGTTCTTCCTAATGTTTAGGTGGAATCTTCTTTCTTGTAGTTTGGATCCATTGCTCCGTGTCCGCTTCTCTGGAGCAGCAGAAAACAACCTTTCTCCCTCCTCTATGTGACATCCTTTTATATATTGGAACATGGCTATCATATCACCCCTTAACCTCCTCTTCTCCAGGCTAAACATGCCCAGCTCCCTTAGCCGTTCCTCATAAGGCATCGTTTCCAGGCCTTTGACCATTTTGGTTGCCCTCCTCTGGACACGTTCCAGTTTGTCAGTGTCCTTCTTGAACTGTGGTGCCCAGAACTGGACACAGTACTCCAGGTGAGGTCTGACCAGAGCAGAATACAGTGGCACTATTACTTCCCTTGATCTAGATGCTATACTCCTATTGATGCAGCCCAGAATTGCATTGGCAATCCTGAAGCAATGTTCTTAACCTGAAGCACTATTTCTGGGTTAGCGGAGTATGTAACCTGAAGTGTATGTAACCTGAAGCGTATGTAACCCTAGGTACCACTGTAAAGATTCATCTTCAAGTCCTGTGTGTGGAGTCTAATTCATCTAATTCATCCCTGAGGTTTGAGGGTGAAACCTCTGCATCGCTCTGAATAACTAAAAAAATATATACAGTGGACGCTCAGGTTGCGAACGTGTTCCGTGAGGGAGGCACGTCCGCAACCCGCAGTGTTGCATCTGCGTACGCATGGGTTGCCATTCGGCACTTCTGCGCAAAGCACAATTTAGCGCTTCTGCGCATGCGCGACAGCCGAAACCCGGAGGTAACCCGTTCCGGTACTTCCGGGTTTCGGCGTGTCCGTAACCCACAAAAACGCAACCTGAAGCGTCTGTAACCCGAGGTATGACTGCATATGGTAACACAAACAGCCCTTACCTTTCTCTTCTCACACGGTCGAAGTTTCACAAGATCTTCATCTGTCACAACCCCAGACGTTTTGAGTGCGGATTCCACTGCGGCCAGCGGCTGACTTGGACTCTCCGGTTCCTCCACCGTGGGACCTTCTTTTGGCGAAGAAGGAGCAACCTTTGCCGCCTCTTCTCCTGGAGCTCTGAGATCCACGCTTCCTGGGGAGGCGGAAGAGTCCGCGGCCTCTCTCCCCACGGTGGGGTGTGGGACCGCCGCTTGGCTCCTACCCCCCTTCGTGTGGTTGGGCTTAGCTAAGCGGCAGAGGTACTGGTTGGACTTGTCGAAAGGAAACTTCTTTTTGCGCAGCTGCTGCTGGAGGTCTTTGCCCAGGCTGTTCTTCACGGCTGGCGGCTTCCCCTCCCGCTGCTTCAAGAGGCCTTCATCGATGACGTTCTCGTAGTCCTCGCCTAGGTGGGCTGCAGCAAACCGGCAGGTGACCCCATACATGCACCTGCCGAACATCTTGAAGAGTATGCAGCTGTCTCCCAGGTCCGGCGGCTTGGTGGCCATATATTCTTTGACGCTGTGTAGGAAACGGCAGCGTGAGCCAAAGAAGCACTTATCGGCCCGTTCCTTCAACAAGAGAAAGAGGCTGCTTTAAAGGAGGGTAGCATAGGTTTTTAAATATATATACAGTATGAAGTTGCAGGTCATGCCCTGGTCGTCTTACACCCTACAATTCAGCAACCTCCTCTTTAAAACGGGACCCCTGACCATTAGGTCCAGTCGTGACCGACTCTGGGGTTGCGGCGCTCATCTCGCTTTACTGGCCGAGGGAGCCGGCGTACAGCTTCCGGGTCATGTGGCCAGCAGGACTAAGCCGCTTCTGGAGCAGCACACGGAAACACCGTTTACCTTCCCGCCAGAACGGTACCTATTTATCTACTTGTACTTTTTGGGGTGCTTTCGAACTGCTAGGTTGGCAGGAGCAGGGACCAAGCAACGGGAGCTCACCCCGTCGCGGGGATTCAAACCGCCAACCTTCTGATCGGCAAGTCCTAGGCTCTGTGGTTTAAAACACAGCGCCACCTGCGTCCCTTAATCCCATCACGTCCAACAAGTGACCTGTGGCAAAAACCTTAAAGAAATATATCTTTATTTACACATTTAAAATTACACATAATGAAAATACAATGTTCTGTAATAATGAAAAGATCTACACCAAAGAAATAGAAAAGAAAAGAAAAGGAAAAAGATAAAGAAGAAAAGAAAGAATAGAGTTAAAACAAAAATCTTATCAAGAACATTCGATTTTTAAGAAATACAAACCATCATCGATGTTGTTATATACATATATTCCCAGTAAGAATTTTATTTTCACCTTTTCAATTTTTCTTCATCACTCTTAGTTTCTTATCTATGCCTGATCTCTGGCTTTCCGTGACGGAAACCAGAGCGCACGGAAACGTAGTTTACCTTCCTGCCGGAGTGGTACCTATTTATCTACTTGCACTGGCGAGCTTTCGAACTGCTAGGTTGGCAGGAGCTGGGACCGAGCAACGGGAGCTCACCCCATCATTGCGGGGATTCGAACCACCAACCTTCCGAACGGCAAGGTTTAGACCACAGCGCCACCTGCATCCCCATGCCATTAACAGGGCTAGGAGCTCTCAAATTTTGTCAATCTCTTCATCAAGTCCTAATCATCCTCACACATAGTTTACCTGGACGACTGAAGGGCAGAGGCGGTTCTTCTCGTAGTGAGTCGGCTTCATGCAAGGGCGGCCCTTATTCTGTCCCCGGGCCCTCTTGTGGCCCTGAGGATCCTTCGCAGTTCTGTTTTCCTCTTCCGGCGAGTTCTTTTCTTCTGCATTGCTTCCATCATTTCTCAGCTTCTGCAGTTTGGCAGGAGGCTCATTCAGGTCTCCACCGGTATTACTCTCTGCACTGTCCTCTGCAGCTAGCACATCGCCATCTTTCTCATTCGTCACCTCCCCTTCCCGATCAAGGTACGTGTGGAACTTTTCTTTTGTAGAGAGGTACCTATAGGGGAGAAGAGTTGTGAAGCTCCGTGTCCACACCACATCACCTACAAGTGATGCTTCATAGAGTCACTAGAGGGCTACATTTTTGTGATTTACGGGTTTTTAACTCAGTACTTAAATACAGTGGTACCTTGGTTCCCCAACAGTTTAGTTGTTGAACAAATTGGCTCCTGAACACTGCAAACTTGGAACTAAGTTTTCCTGTTTGTGAACGTTTTTTGGAAGCCAAACATCTGACACGGCTTCCGATTGAGTGCAGGAAGCTCCTGCAGCCAATCGGAAGCCATGCCTTGGTTTTTGAACAGTTTTGGGAGTCAACCGGACTCCCAGAACGGATTAAGTTCAAGAACCAAGGTACCACTGTATAAGGGTTCTATTTTACCACACGGTGACAAAAATACTTCCCATCAGAAGAATCTGCACCCCAACCCCCAAGAACTTTTTTATAGTTTATTCATTATTGGATTTATTTTCCATCTTTTCTCCAGTGGTCTCAGGATTGCATACATGTTCGTCTGCCTCCTCCCCATTTTATCCTTCCCACAATCCTGTGAAGGCTGAGAGACTGTGACTGACTCCAAGGTCACCCACTGAGCTTCATGGCTGAGAGGGGATTTGAACCCAGGTCTCCCAGGTCCTAGGGACGCGGGTGGTGCTGTGGGTTAAACCACAGAGCCTAGGACGTGCCGATCAGAAGGTCGGCGGTTCGAATCCCCATGACAGGGTGAGCTCCCATTGCTCGGTCCCTGCTCCTGCCAACCTAGCAGTTTGAAAGCACATCAAAGTGCAAGTAGATAAATAGGTACCACTCCGGCAGGAAGGTAAATGGCGTTTCTGTGCACTGCTCTGGTTCGCCAGAAGCGGCTTAGTCATGCTGGCCACATGACCCGGAAGTTGTACGCCGGCTCCCTCGGCCAATAAAGCGAGATGAGCGCCACAACCCCAGAGTCGGCCACAACTGGACCTAATGGTCAGGGGTCCCTTTACCTTTATCTCCCAGGTCCTAGTTTAATACTCTAGTCACTACACCACGCTGTGGGCTCTCAAATAAAAATGAAACCCCCCACATGCTCCAAGAAGCTCCGTGCATACATGTTTGGGAAGCTTTGTCTTTTTAAGAGAGAAAATGACCCATCAGAGATTTTGTGTCATGAACGAAGGTTATGGGCTTAGGAAACATTCAAATAGAGGCATTCATGGGAGTTGGGATCCTCCTGCAAAGGAAGCCTGCTGCACATCTTGCAAAGCTACCGAGATACCATTTGCTTTGCAACCATTGATCACAATCTTAAATCTCTCAGATGTCAAGGAAATAAACAACTATCTGACTTTTAGATGACATCTGAAGGCAGCCCTATTTAGGGAAGTTTTTGATGTTTGATGTATTTACCGTGTGTATAATATTCTGCTGGGAGGCACCAAGCGTGGCTGGGGAAACCCAGCCAGATGGGTGGGGTATAAATAATAAATTATTATTATTATGGCATCAGCCTAGAACTGGGTGGGCCCAAGGTAATAAATATTGTAATGGGAGCTGACCAGAGTGGCTGGGGAAACCCAGCCAGATGGGCAGGGTATAAATAATCTATTATTATTATTATTATTATTTGGGCATCAGCCAAGGACTGGGCAGGCCCAAGGTAATATTCTAATGGGAGCTGCCCAGAGTGGCATGCAGAAGGCCTTGGGTTCAAACCCCCCAATTGGTGCTGACCTTGAAAGCGCTAAGTGGCCTTGGCGCAGTATCCCTGAAGGAGCGTCTTCACCCCCATCGTCCAGCCCGGACACTGAGGTCCAGCTCCGAGGGCCTTCTCGGTAGTGGCACCTGCCCTGTGGAACGCCCTCCTATGTCAAGGAGATACACAGCTATCTGACTTTTAGAAGACATCTGAAGGCAGCCCTGCTTAGGGAAGTTTTTAAATGTTTGATGTATTTACCGTGTGTATAATATTCTGCTGGGAGGCACCAAGCGTGGCTGGGGAAACCCAGCCAGATGGGTGGGGTATAAATAATAAATTATTATTATTATGGCATCAGCCTAGAACTGGGCAGGTCCGTGGCAATATTCTAATGGGAGCTGCCCAGAGTGGCTGAGGAAACCCAGCCAGATGGGCAGGGGATAGAAAATAAATTATAATTATGATTAACATATCCAAGGTCACACGCCCCCCACCCCGAATCCCAGGGAAGACGCTGCCTGTCAGTGCAGGAGATACTATGTTCCTTGGGGTGCAGGGCAGGGAAGGAAGGAGGGGGGGTCTAGGGAAGGTTTGGGGTGCGGAGGGGGGCACCCTAATACTCACTGGGCTCTGATAGGGGCCACCCCAGCAGCCTCCATTGGGGCGGGGGCCCCCCAGGCCCACACCCTCCGCCTGCCGAGCAATTCAGACAGGAAGCGCGACTCCCCCTGCAGCCGCACAGCGTGGCTTCCGGCGCTTCCGGTCCCGAACCGGAAGCTCCCCGGCCGCTTCCGCTTCCTCTCCCTGCAGCGCGGAGGCCGAGGTTCCTAGAGCGACGCAGACCCAGGAGGAAGGAGGGCGAAGGATTCTAGCGCCCCCTGCCGGAGGTTTCCGTCTAAGCTCCCGCCGCTGTTTTTACCTTGCGAGGGAAAGATGGTTGGGAAGGAGGGAGAGGCGGGGCTTAGGGGAAAAGGCGGGCTGGGATTGGGGGAAAGCGGGTGGGCGGGGCCTCGGAGGACGGGGCTTAATTGGAATTGGGCTGGGTATAAATAAATTATTACTATTATTATTATTATTATTATTATTATTATAGACGGGAGAAAGAATAAAAATGGCATTGATTTTGTGTTTGGGAAGCAGCAAACCTCGATGTGATTTATGGAAAAAGATTAAAAAAAAAATTCAATAAAACTTTATTTTATTTTATTTATTTTATTTATTCATTCATTCATTCACTCACTCACTCATTCATTTAAAAAACCTCAATAAGACTACCACTAGCAAAATGTTGCAGCGGCAATTTTAAAAGGTTGTTGTTGCTGTTTAGTCGTTTAGTCATGTCCGCCTCTTCGTGACCCCCTGGACCAGAGCACGCCAGGCACTCCTGTCTTCCACTGCCTCCCGCAGTTTGGTCAAACTCATGCTGGTAGCTTCGAAGACACTGTCCCACCATCTCGTCCTCTGTCATCCCCTTCTCCTTGCGCCCTCCATCTTTCCCAACATCAGGGTCTTTTCCAGGGAGTCTTCTCTTCTCCTGAGGTGGCCAAAGTCTTGGAGCCTCAGCTTCAGGATCTGTCCTTCCAGTGAGCACTCAGGGCTGGTTTCCTTCAGAATGGAGAGGTTGGATCTTCTTGCAGTCCATGAGACTCTCCAGAGTCTCCTCCAGCACCAGAATTCAGAAGCATCCATTCTTCGGCAATCAGCCTTCTTGATGGTCCAGCTCTCGCTTCCTTACATCGCTACTGGGAAAACCATAGCTTTAACTATACGGACCTTTGCTGGCAAGGTGATGTCTCTGCTTTTTAAGATGCTGTCTAGGTTTGTCATTGCTTTTCTCCCAAGAAGCAGGCGTCTTTTAATTTCGTGACTGCTGTCACCATCTGCAGTGATCATGGAGCCCAATAAAGTAAAATCTCTCACTGCCTCCATTTCTTCCCCTTCTATTTGCCAGGAGGTTTAGGCCCAGTGGCCATGATTTTAAAAGGTACAAAATGTCAAAGCCGTAATGGGATAGGCTAAAGGCTCGACTTAAAACTTGTGCAAAGCTCTGTGGAGAAAAAAAAGAGTTGAATATAAATGAAAATTATGTTCTTAAAAAAATTGCTTGCATGCAGTTTGGTGTCACTACCTGAAGAGGGTAGCACATGCCTTTTCTGTTCATATGCTTAGTTTGGGGAAAGAGATGGATGGGATTTTTGCAGCCTTCTGGTTCATCGTCTAACTAACCGGATCCTTACATAAGTCTGTGGGATGTCTCCCACGTCCAAAGTACCAGCTGCAATCTATGCAAACGTCCTCGGTCCCTGCAAATCCTGCCTCAAGGAAATTCAGATTTCTCCATTTGGAATAAAATTGCACTCTTAAAAACAAACAAACAAAAAATAATCAATTTTGTTCCAGGGGTTCCTGAAGAACTCAGCTATACATCTGCAAATAACCCTCCAACATTTCCCTGATGAAAAAAGGGACGTCCTCTTCCATGCCCTCCAACATTTCTCCCATGAAAATAGGGATGTCCTATTCCATCCCCTCCAACATTTCCCTGATGAAAATAGGGAGGTCCTATGCATTAACAACAACAACAACAGTAAAAAAGAACAAAAATCCTGGACAGCATCTTAAAAAGCAGAGACATCACCTAGCCGACAAAGGCCCGTATAGTCAACGCTATGGTTTTCCCAGTAGTGATGTATGGAAGTAAGAGCTGGACCATAAAGAAGGCTGATCGCCGAATGGATGCTTTTGAATTCTGGTGCTGGAGGAGACTCTTGAGAGTCCCATGGACTGCAAGAAGATCAAACCTCTCCATTCTGAAGGAAATCAGCCCTGAGTGCTCACTGGAAGGACAGATCCTGAAGCTGAGGCTCCAATACTTTGGCCACCTCAGGAGAAGAGAAGACTCCCTGGAAAAGACCCTGATGTTGGGAAAGATGGAGGGCACAAGGAGAAGGGGACGACGGAGGATGAGATGGTGGGACAGTGTTCTTGAAGCTACTAACATGAGTTTGACCAAGTTGCAGGGGGCAGTGGAAGACAGGAGTGCTTGGCATGCTCTGGTCCAGGGGGTTACGAACAGTCGGACACGACTAAACGACCAAACAACAACAACAGCACACCCATGGATCGAGGGATGTGTGGAATATTGAAGCACCTGACTTGTGCAACAACTGGAATGTAGGGGTTTGCACAAAGGCAAGAACCACATCCATTGCTCCTCGCACTTTTGACTCTCTTCCTCCCCACCTTTCCCCCCTGGTCCGTCCCACCCACAACTGGGCAAACAGCCCCCCGGGAATGTTGTTCCATTGGAAATATCCTCTGGACTGAAAACTTTCCTCACTCCTGAAGGATGGGAACATTTAGAAAACCAGCTCGGACAGCAAATCTCTCCCGTGCTAAAAGGTTCTTGCGTTTTGTGTCATTGAGAGCTCTCCATATGGGCAAGGAAGGGGGATTATTATGTGGACATGGCTTCAAGTATAGGATATATGTTAAGAATATCAGTTACTCCCTTTGCTTGTGTGTGTTCAGGGGCCCAGATCTTTTGAAGCAATTTGGGGCTTGGACCCCCAGCCTTTAGCACATTGCGGGAGGGATATAATTTCAAGGAGCAGGAAAACCTCATTAGCGATGGCCTCTTAATCCCCTTTCGGCTTTGCCCTTGAACAAGAGCCCTGTGTAGTTTATGCAACTATTAGGCTCGGTTTGCCCAATTTATTTCAACAAATGGCTCTCTTTTGCCTTTGCCTGTCAGAAAATCACACGCGCAAACCGCCTTAAGGCCAAGGCTATCAAAGCAATAACTGTGTTTAACTTAGGAAACAAAACAAAAAAGTGCAGGGAACAAGCCGTTTCAGCTGCCACCTTAGATCAAGAACAGGACGCTAGACTAGATGGGTCTTTGGCCTGATCCTGCAAGTCTTCCTTATATCCTTATGGATACTGTGGTTGCCAATTGGAGCGATCACAGGCCAGTGTTTCCCGGTTGTCAGTGTTTACACTACATTTTTTTAGATTTGCCTTGAGAGAGTCTTTGAACCTCTTTTGTTGACCACCAGCATTACACTTTCCATTTTTAAGTTCGGAATAGAGGAGTTGCTTCGGAAGACGATCATCAGGTATCCGCACAACATGACCAGTCCAACAAAGTTGATATTGAAGAACCATCGCTTCAACATCTTTGCTTCTTCCAGTACACTGGTATGAGTTCACCTGTCTTCCCAGGTGATGTGTAGAATTTTTCGGAGACACTGTTGATGGAATCTTTTGAGGAGTTGGAGATGGCGTTTATAAGAAATGCGCTAAGAGGAAGGCACGCTTGGCAAACCCTCCCCATGATAAACTCCTGCTCAGAAACCTATGTTCCCACTGTGGAAGGACGTGTGGATCCAGAATTGGCCTCCATAGTCACTTACGGACTCACTGTTAAGATCGTGTTTATGGAAGACAATCTTACTCAGCTATGAGTGATCACCAAAAAAGAAGAAAAGGAAGAAGAGGAGGAAGAAGGTTTTCATTTTCCTACAATAAGCAGGGTCTAGGCTAGACAAGTCCCCTTCCAGCTCAATGAACCCAATATCATTGTATGAATCTTTGGGGGTCATCAGAAAGTTACCAGGCATTTCCCAGTGAATTGCCTCGTCGTCCAACCCAGTGTGATGGCCTGGGACTCAGGTTCAGACTTGGAACCAGAGGAGTCTCAGTCTGCACTGGATTCTTTGCCTCAGGCATCATCTGAACCAAGCCTGGGGCCTGATCCTGAAGAGTCCAAGTCTGCACAGGTTCCCCTGCAACAAGCACCGGCTGGGCCGAGTCAGGGGCCTGAGCCTGCCCTGGCTCCAGATGCGGGGATTACCTCGTTGCCTCCAGCTGGGCCATCACTTACAGCTGCTCCACTACTGGTTGGGTCAGGGGAGGCTGAGGCGACCCCTGGGTCTAGTGACCTACGACGTCTCCCAAGCTGCAGAGACTAAGGTCTGAGAGAGGAGAGACCTGAGTACTTGCAAGAGGAGTGCTTGCCTTCGGGCAAGACAGGGAGGTGAGTCGCTGGGGGATCAGGACCGGCCATTACCCCCACAAAGATAAAAGGCTGTCGGACCCCGCCCCAGGTTGCAGGAGCAACATTGCTGTTTGCCAGATCCTGCCTGAGATCCTGTACCTGTCCTTGCCTGGTTTCCTGCCTCATGACCTGCCTTGACCCTGTTGGATTGACTCCTAGCTGAACCTACAGATTCTGGATTGGACCTGGACCGTAATTCTTGGGTTACCCCCGGGCCCAGCACACCCATCTTCTACCAAGCATTTGCACACCCCGGCTCCCTGCTTCCTCCTCCTGCATCCAAGGACGAAAATGCCGTGGGGCTTGGATGGAGCCAAAAGGGCAGGGGGATCAGATGCCGGGGTGCGTGCAAAACCCAGGGTTTGCAGAAGTACAAAAATTATTTTGAAAGGGAAGCCTAAAAGAGCCTCTGCCCACAGACAGCAACCCAATGAGAAACCTGCATGTTCAGTAGTACCTTGGTTCTCAAACTTAATCCGTTCCAGAAGTCTCTTCCAAAACCAAAGCGTTCCAAAACCAAGGCATGCTTTCCCATAGAAAGTAATGCAAAATGGATTAATCCGTTCCAGACTTTTTAAAAACAACCCCTAAAACAGCAATTTAACATGAATTTTACTATCTAAACTAGACCGTTGATCCATGAAATGAAAGCAATAAACAATGTACTGTGGTACCTCGGGTTACAGATGCTTCAGGTTACATACGC